GGTCTACATAGTGAGTTCTAGGACAGCTGAGGCTACAGGGAGACCCTGTCTCAGAAAACTACAATAAAACAAGAATAAAACGAGGATGTGAGGATTTGTGTGATGGTTAGTGTTATTATCACATTAACAGGATCTAAACTTACCTGGGAGATGGGTCTCTAGGCCCATCTAATTGTGTTAATTGAGGTGGAAAGAGCCACCCATTGTGAGTGGCACCATTTTCTGGCTGGGATCTGGGATGGAGCATGTAAGTGGAGAAAGGAATTGTATAGCAGCAAGCATTCATGTTCTCTGCTTCCTGAACATGGATGCAGTGTGACCAGCTACTTCTTGCCCTGCTACTTGACTTCTCCACCATGGTGGTCTGTACCCTTGAACTATGAGGCAGAATAAACCTTTTCTCCCTTAAGTTGCTTTTGTCAGGGTATTTGATCACAGCAACAGGAAAAGAAATTAAGACCATTAGTAAAATGAGAAATGAAGTTGTGAGCACTGTAGATTCCCTAGGCTACCAGCCTGTGGCTGGCCAACACTAAGGCATTCTTCTCCACAGTCTAGATCAGCTATGGAAACCATCTATGACTAACATGAAATAAGGAGCCCATCTTACCTGCTGAGGCCATTTTCAATGTGATCAAGATCTCTGTCCATAGTCTTTACTGAAGGGTGGGCCAGGGAAGGTTGGGAGTATTGAGTATTGACTTTGGCCATCTTCACACGTCACATTCAGCCCCAAAGTGGCTTCTAAAATGTGAACACAAAGTAGGTACACTATCAGGACGCCTGCAAGCCTTCTTGTAAACAGGGCTACTCTGTGTGACTTCCCTCCTACGTATGCTCTGACACATACAGCCCCTCCTCCACTTTCTCTCATAGTTGCTGTCATACTGTGTTTTGGTTGCATGCCTCTGTACTCTTCTTTCAAATTTAAGGCATAAACAAGGTCTTATATATCAGTCACCAGATCAAAGAGCTGCTCAGAGCTCAGTGTTAAATGAACAGATGAATAAATGAATGAATGAATGAATGAATGAATGAATAGCCAGGTGGGTATTTGATATAGGAACGCCCAAGAATTTATGATTCTCTGGGATGATGCAATATCTATTTGGCCTTGCCTTTCCTCCCTCATTTCCTGCTGTTTATCTTATAATTTGGCACATATTTTAGTAACTCCCGAGTCGTCTTTTTTAGCAGAGTGTGACTGATCATGGTGACATATGCTAGAAATCAACAAGCCAAAGAGGATGAGGATCATGAGTTTGAGGCCAGTCTGGGATACATCTTTTAAAGCTGGTTATTCAGCCTAGTGGTAGGTTACACTTGCCTACTGTAAGACCTGAAATCTGATGATTCATTGTCATCTTAGATCCAGTTACAGATGGACAGAAAACACTGGGAGCCTGCTAAGGCAGCTACCACCACCCAAATTGTTAGTCTACCCCCTCCTATACAAAGTAGAAGTTTAGAGTTGAAAATTACTAATAGGCAAGCTTGCCTAACGACCTACAGACACGACAAGGTTATGAATCTGATATGCTTTAAAATAAATAGTAAAATAAAAGGTAAAGATGAACTCAATATATGTTTTTTGAGAAAAAGACAAATATAAGTGATAGAAGGGAAAGATGAGATCTAGATGACGTGTGAGATTGTACCCTCCTGATTATTCAGTCAGTGAGGAAAGAGAGGAAGGGCCTGTGTTAAGGCTATAAGAAACTGTTCTCTGCATTTAATCAGTTTGCCTTCTATCCTGGCCTGATACTTAGCCTTGCAAGGTGAGAAAATAAACTGTCTCATTTTTGCTACTCTGAGTCTCCAGTGCTCTTATGAAATGAGGGTCCACTTTCTCACATCTAACATGTGTAGGCCCTGAGTTCAAACTCTAGCACTGCAAAAGAAAAGTTATAACTCTGAACTAAAGAAGATAACTAACAATATTTGACATTCATAAACCCTTGCACCAGGGCCAGGTGTGTGTGGCAGTGCACGTCTATCATCCCAGCACCCAGGAAGCAGAAGCAGGAGGGTACTGAAATTTCAAGGCCAGCTTCATATATATAATAAGTTCCAGGCCAGCTACGATTACATAGTGAGAGCCTGTTTCAAAATCAACCCATCAACCAACAAATGAATGAACAAACAAACAAAAAGTGATATCAAACTCAAGCCACACTTCATCTCATCTAAGTAAAAATTTGCAACCTTTATCCCTGTTGATAGATGACCAAACCAAAACTCAGAAACGTCACATAGCTTGTTTAGTCAAACTAGCAGATAAATCCTTTAGTGTGGCCTATTCATGGAGCCACAAAATAAACTCAACACTTTCCCTGTAGTGGAAGGTGTTTCCATGACTGAGAAGAAAAGGAAGCTGGTGCTAGGGCCAAGACTGGACACGTCCATAACTTCTGGACAAGTCTTCAGCTAAAAGATAGTTTTCTGACTGTTCACTGAAGCAGAACAGTCCAAACTCTCTGGAGGAACTCCACAGCTCAAGTGTGTCAAATGTCAGTAGAGGTCACTCCAGAGAAAGATTATAACATCTAGAAATAGCCCAGTGACTTACAGTACTAAATCAATTCTATATCCAAGGGAAGGTCAATTCAAATTGCCTGGGATGCTACCCAAAGCAACCCCAGGGCTATGTCCCTGCCACTGAAGTCAGAGTACCTGGCTGTTCCAGGGCAGTCATGGCTCAACAAGGACCTGCCTCATCTCTGATATTTGATATTTTCGACTTATAATTTTAAATTTTATAATTTGTAAAGAGAAGGCAAAGCTTGTTTTCTAGGAGCTGACATCTAAGGGGCGCAGCTGACACAGCAGGGCCCTACAGGCAACACCAAGAAGCTCGGGCTTTACTTTAAAGCCCATTGAGGATGTGACCAGAGGTATAAAGGCCACTCTGGCTACACTGGGGAGGATGTATTCAGGGGGCCTAGGTGTGAGTGAGGAGAGCGGCTAAAATGTACTGCAGGATCTCAGAAGGAGAAAGAACAGTGGCCAGAACTAGACGACAGTCACCTGGCTGAGGCAGTGAACTGGTCAAACGGAGAAACTAGTGAATGGGTGGAATGGCCAGGACACAACATCGGTGAGATTAAGAGGCACTGAAGAGGGAGATGCTGAAGATGATGCTCTGACAGCTGTCTTAAGAAGCAGAGCTGCCCGTACACTGAGGCAGGGAACTAGGGAGAAAGAACAGGCTTAAGGAAGAAAATGATTCCAGCTTGAGAAACCCATGCAGACCTTAGAGCCAACTTATGAATTCATAAAAAGCAATAAACCCATTTAAAATGATCCATTCAACACTTTTAATTGGGAAGAAAATGATTCCAGCTTGAGAAACCCATGCAGACCTTAGAGCCAACTTTTGAATTCATAAAAAGCAATAAACCCAATTTAAAATGATCCATTCAACACTTTTAATTCAGCACTTACTATGTGCCAGGTAACATGCTAGCAGCTGGAGTTGTGCAGAGAGCGCTGCACAGCTGTGTCCACTGTGAAAAGAGCTTATAGCCCATTGTACGCTAGAGCAAGTTGTCAAGTAATTTTGACATGCTACGAAAACTATCAAACAGCTCTTCTTTGTACATTTGCAGGCAAATGGCACCAAATAAAAGACATTGCCTCCAGTCAAGCTCCTCCCTTCCACCCCTCTACTAAACCCTCTGCCCTGGGCATAAACTTTAGTTCAGTGCCACTGCATAGAGGCAGCACCTCTGTTCCTCCCAGGCCTGCTTCCTGTCTAGGGCCACTAGGTTCTCAGTTCTGGGTAGATGCTATGGAACACTGCCATATTCCATCCTCAAAATAAGAAGCTCAGCAGTGAGTTGTTTTGTGAATTTTGCTGCTTATGCCTGCTGCTGTAGATCCAGTTGAGTCCAGAACCCTACCGTGTAAAGTTAAAGGGCTTCAAAGAACCAGTAGTACAGCCTTTAGGCTTCAGCAATCTGCCCCTACTCCAACCACATTTCTCCCAGTGGGCCAAGGGGACATGCTCACCTGGAACTCTGACCTGTTCTAGACTAAATTGACCCCCTTTCTAGGTTTGTTTTCCTAAGCCCAGCCCAATCATGCACTCCTTTGATCCCAGGACAGCCAGGGAGTGAGCAGTCCTCTGTGCGGGATGGGGGGCGTTTTGGCAGAGTATCCACATGCATGTGCACAACAACCCCTGTGACAGGGGGGTGGCCACAGAACTGGGAAGAGAATGGGGTAGATCATAGACAAGGCCTAAGGATCAAATGTCCTCATGCAACAGCATTCCACGGCTCAACCCTAAGGTCTTGATGGAGAAATGTTTGTCAAGGTAGGAGGCAGGAGCATGATTAATTTAACAGTGTACTCACTGGGTCCATGCAGTGGTCATCTCTGCCTCTTTACTTTGCATATTTCTTGCCCATCTTTTCAGTCCAGTTGTTGCTACAGCAACAAGACATACTGGGTAACCTCAGCTAATGCTGTGCATTACTCACCTTCTGTCTGATTTCTCCAGGGAACACGTCAGCTATTCTGTCATATATACAAACCCAGAAGCACTTAACAGGCATAACACCTCTTGGACAATCCGTGACTAATTGAATCTAGTCCCAGAAGGTGTTTAGATTTCTATCCCTCAGGGAGATAATTCTGAAGGACAGTCTACAGTGCTCCTGGCAGAAGCCCTGGTTACTCAGAGTTGTCATCTGTTTGATAATAAACATCGGGTTTGCTTTTCCTTCTTCCCCTTTGTCTTCTTTCAAAGTACCTATTTTTCTTCCGTCATTCTCCAGAAAACTACATGTATGCATGCCCTTGACCATGGTTTTTGGGTTATTGTTTTTTGCTTTGGGGGGAGGAGATTTTCACAGCTAAGACAGTGCTTAACTTTAAATGTCGAACCCTATGGAAATAAAATTATTCGTGCTCTTGACCCAGATTCTTCAAGGTTTAGGGGTAAACCTAATTTCTCTTTTAATTTTTTTGTTCTTTATGGTTACATAGAGCAAAATTTATATTATTAAGGGGAAACAAAACTCGGGATTTTAAAAAATTGGCTTAAGGGGCTGAAGAGATGGCTCAGCGGTTAAGAACACTGGTTGTTCTTGCAGAAGACCTGGGTTCAAATCCCAGCACCCACATGGCAGTAACTGTCTGTAACTCCAGTCCCAGGGGATCTGACAGCCTCTTCTGACTTCTGCAGGCATTGCACGACACAGATGCACTGACCTACATGCAGGCAATACATGCATACACATAAAAAAATAAAAATTAAAAAAAATTGGCTTAAAAATGTCATAAATCATCATCTTTTAAAAAAGATAAAAAGAATCAGAGTTCAAATAAGGAAAGTTCATATATTTTGATTGACATACTTATTGAGAGGTTTTAACATAAATTTTTCCATGTATATCTCTTTTAATTATCTTGTACTTCTCTACGATATAGATGTTTGCCAATTCTAACTCTAAACCATACTCTGTACATGAGTAATCACACCAAGGATTGGCCAAATTTGGAATCCATTTTTATTTTTTGGTAAGATGACTTCACAGGGAGTGCTGTGTTCTTCTGTCAGAAGACCTGTCACACCTGACTGTATTCTCTGGGTGATGACAGTCACTAACCAGACCCATCATTACAGGCTGCAATTCAAGTGATACTCTACCATTCCTTCCTCAATAAGCTGGGATATTCTTTTTTTTAAAAAAATACTTTATTATTTTTATTTTATGTGTATGTGTGTATTGCCTGCA